CCCAAGCCCAAGGGCAAAGCCTGGATATTGAGCTTCTGATGCCCACACTGAGGCCAGGGCGCATACCTGCCCTTGTTCACCCCCCCCCCCGCCCCCAGGAAGCCCCACAGCTATTCTGGGAGGGCCAGCCCTAAATGACTGGGTCTGGGGAGCTTGGAGAGGGGCGCCCCTCCCCAGCCAGGCTCTGGGGTCTCCCTCCTGCTGGAGGAAGGGCGTGTGGTCCAAGCGCCGCCAGGGCACCCTGGGAGCAGACAGCTCGGCAGGCAGCTGCCCTCCCCCCCCCCCCCACGACCTAATGAGCTCATTAATTAGCTGCCAGGCAGGGCTCAACAGCCCTCTCCCGCTGCCATAAACTCTGCTTGCTTGATTGATTACGTTCGGGCTGCGTGGCATTTGTTCCCAGGGACAGGCTGCCACCGGGTATGGTGGGAAGGGACAGTCCTGGGCAGGGCTGTGGGGCTGGGACGGTCCTGTTTCGGGGCCAGCAGAGGTCGAAACCAGGTCTTGTCTGACCCATGGGAGGAGGTGGAGAGAGGGGCCAACAGGCCTCCCCGCCCCCAAGCACACTCTCTCTGACACGGAGCCCCAGGTGACTTCAGAGCTGGCTCCCCACAGGGCCGTGGCCGTGGCTGCGGGTCCCCAGGCCTGCTGGTCCTCTGAGCCATCAGGAAGAAAGGGCGGAGGTGACAGCCCATCCATCTCCCTGAGCCCAGTGCAAACACCAACCGACCGGGCCCAGGGCGAGGCGGGTGAGGCCCAGGGAGGGTGGCCCAGGCCCCTCCCGGTGACGCTGGGCCCTGGCAAGCACAGGGCCAAGGCCCCCGGACACCCCACCCCATGGGGGTCGTGCCCGAAGTGGGAGGCAGGCCCCTCCCCTCTCCTGTGGGCTCTTTCTGTGCGGCCACAGCCCAGGGGTCCAATTCTCCAGCCCCCTGACCCCCAAGGAAATGACCAACACTGGTCCCAGCAGGTGCATAGGCCCCTGGGGATTGACTCTGGGAGGCAGAATCCTCAGCTCCCCTCCGAGCACAGAGAGCCAGGGCGTGGACAGCGGTTTATTGTGTAAAGTGGCCGATTGTACACAGCAGAGATTGTACTGACACAGGAGGGGTGAGGGAGGCCGGAGGCCAGAGCCTGGAGGCCGGAGGGGAGGCCGGAGGGGTGGCGTCCTGCCCCCCCACAGGTCCTCCAGGCAGTGGGTGGGGGTGGGGGGACTGAACAGCTGCCCCCTCCTCGTTCCCTTTGCCCCCATTACTGGATATAAGATGGGGCCAGGCTGTATCCACTGACCAGGAAGAATATAGCAGGATACCCTCGACACCCCATGACAAACCCCTAAAATGCATGGGGTCCCCCAACCTGGCTTTTGCAGCCAGCCAGCCAGCCCCCAGCCTCCTCAAGCCCCCAGGACACACACCCTCCTCCCTCAGGCCCTGGCAGCGAGCCAGGCCGCACAGGTGGCTTCCGGTAGGAGGTAAGGCCCCCTCACTGCCCAGATGCCCCAAGAAACAGCCCACGGCTCCCTTTTAGGCAACACATAGGGCACAGGAGGCCTCAGTGAGCGGCAGGGAGCTGGGCGGGCACCGAGGGTCAGCTTAGAGACAGGCCTTGAGGGGGAGCAGAGGGAGGTGGGGCTCTGGCCAGGGAGACAGGATGCTCCAGGAGTGGGGGGGGGGGGGGGTCGGGGAAGGTCAGAGCCGATCCCCAGCATCCCAGCCATAGGGGCCTCTGGGAGCTGCCACCCAGGGCTCGGTGACTCTGCCAGCCCCAGCCCTGATCATAGTAAGTTAAAGCTCAGAACGGTCAGTGGGTCAAGGTGTGGGGAGGAGGATGGGGGGACCGGGGCCCCCCACCCTCTCCCGGCCCCTGTTCCTTGTAGATTTCCATCCTCACACCCGCTGGATCTCAAACAGCTTCACGTCGGTGTCATACCAGACAGGCGGGTCCACATTTCCTGTGGAGGGAGTGGGCTGTCACTGGGCACGGGGAGGCCTCGCAGTGATGCCGCCCAGACCCCTCCCGCCCCAATGCCCGTCCCAACGCCCCACCCTGGACCCTGGGTGCCCACCCTCAACCAGACAGGACCACCCCCGTTAACTGTCTTGACATTCACCATTAACCCCACTACGATGGGGGACCCAGTGCTGAGACCCCAATGAGCCCCACTGGGCAGACCCTCAGGTGGACGCCAGACCCACCCAGCCGGCGGCCGCCCCACCCTCCCGGGGCCCACCTCAGGTAGATGACGCCCCACATGTAGGTGCGGAACCACATGGCCGTGCCCGAGTTGGCCTGGTACTTCCGGATGAGGATGGGGTGGGGCACGGGCAGCAGCCCCACCAGGGTGCCATGCTGCAGGAACCGCAGGATCTCCGACTCGTCCGTCAGGCCCCTGCCAGGGATGGGGTGTCTCCAACACGCTCACGTGGGAAGCCCACCATGCAGGTCAAGGGGAGCAGGGGGCTCACCCTGGACCTGCAAGGCCCGTGCCCCCGTCATTCCCCCACCTGAGCCTGGACTGGCCCCTCCTCAGAGCCCCCCTGTCCCTGCAGCCCCACCCTCACCCCCCAGAGCCTCACTTGTCAATGCAGATCTTCTCCACCTGGGGCACCAGCACCTGCAGCAGCCGCATGATGGTCTGCAGCGGCAGCTTCGCCTTCCAGGAGAGGACCTGGGGGGGGGGGGGGACAGGGCTCCTGGGGCTGGGGAGCCTGACCCTGACCCAGAACTGCAGGCTCCCCAAGGCCAGGCGTGTCCCAGATCACACAGCAAGGCCTGGACGGGCCGCGCCCCTGAACAGTGACTGTTCTTCATGGTCAGCGTGAGCACCGACTACATGCCAGACCCTGTCCCCTTGGACCCTCACAACGGCAGCTCACAGGAGTGTTTATACCCCCGTGCAGCGCCATGAGTGTGGCCTCGGGACGCACAGGGATGGGCGATCCAGCGGGGGAGCTGGAAGCGTGATCCATTAGGAAATTAGTGCTGTGGGCAACGGAAGCTCTGCCCGAGTCAGAGGGAGGCAAGGTCACCCGGCCAGGAGGACTGGTCCCGAGTCTGGCTCCCGGGCCAGTCCTGGGACTTGGACACCTTCCCACCGAGGCTTTACTGAGCTGTGGCTAGTCCCAGGGCCCCTGACCCAGTCCCCACGGGGGTGCCACCTGCCCAAACCCTCACCCACTCCGACGTGGGGCTCCACTGGCCACTGGCTGACGCGCTGGACAGTCGCCGCTGCTCCCGCCACGTCTGGCTGGGCTCCTGGTCCCAGGAAAGGGATGGGAGTGAGGGTGGGAGGCATGGGTACAGGGTGAGGGCAGAGTAGCGGCCCCTCTTCCAGCCCATCCCACAGTCTGGAACCCAGGAGGGCAGTGGGGTCTCCCCACTGGCCCGGGAGCACGGGGGGCTCACTCCCACCTGAGGGCCAGCCCAACCCCGCACCCTTTGCCCTGGGCCCTGGGCCCCGGGCCCTGCCCGGCCCAGCCCAGCTCGTGACAGGTTTAGGGTAAAGGCCAGCCCGGCCTCAGATAAGGCTGATGGATGAGGAGTCTGAAGGCCAAGGGCTAAGCCCATGACCAATAAAAAAGGGAGGGTCTGGGAAAGCCCCCACAGGGACTCAGCGGGGTGCCTGCCCCGCTGCTGCGGGTGACCCAGCTGCCCAGGCCGGGCCCCACCTCCGAGGCCAGAGCCCCACGCCCACCTCCTCAGCTGGACTGCCGTCCGCGGAGCTCTGGGGGGGCGCAGGCTCCAGGGACCGCAAGGTGCCATCCTGGGACACCTGGGACTTCTCCGTCAGCTTGTCAATGCCTGGGGGGC